ATATTTTACGTAAGTTACTTTTAAGTAATAGGATAAGTGATCTGTTACTTTTCCTTTCTTATTTTTGAATTAGAACAGACTGCAATATAAATATGTAATATATATTTTACTTTTTATTATGTGAGAATGTATACTGTTTTGCTATTCCTTCCAATAAAAGAATAAATTTTTAAAATAATCTTTTATTTTCGACTGTTTGATCTGATCGCTCCCCCCACGTAGAGTTATGACGCCCCCTAGGAAGGCGCGCCCCAGAGTTGTAGAAACACTGGGCTAAGACTATAATTAATATAAATAATTTGAATACCTCGTATAATAATAAGATTGAAAATTAAACATTCATTCATATATACAAATAAAGTTTTAAAACTCTGCTTTAGTTTATTTGATATGAAAATCTACTAATACTTTTGATACTTTCCATAATGCAATTTTCAAAAGAAATGTAAAAGGATAATATAGAAAGTTACAAATGTATTTTGAATGATATTTGAATCCTTTGTGTGAATTTTTCATAACTAACTAATATTGTTATTTCTGTCACCAAAATTACGTAAAATATTTTTCCAATGAATACTTTTAAAGGTGAGTTTCATCGTATTATCATATCAATTAATTGAGCGTGCTGATTTGAAGATTGCATAACTATTATCAATGAAATTAGGGTATTATTGTATTTTTAAGATTGAGAGGAGAAACAGCCAGTTAAAGAGAGTCATGGCTATTTTTATGCAAAAAGTATACTCTTCACATAGTCATTTTTGCTGATACATTTTTGATTCACTAACAACTAGTAGTTCATACATTCTGTAAAGCTAGCTGATACATATATTTAAATCTAGCTAGTAATACCAAAAAAATATAGGTGTCTGCATTTATTTATTTCAATAGATATGAATACATAAACATGTAACACATGTATTGAACCAAAATTCACAAAATAATGAATGTATTTTGAATACGCATGCGCAAAGGAAGTTATCTCTTTTAAAAATTCATTTTTTCCCGCAACACACGTCTCAGTATTTATTTCTTAATGACAGCTAAAAGGGAAAAGTTCCTGTAAACAATACGATGGAATGAAGATAGGTTTGATTCGGAGAAAATATAGTACTGTGAAATGAAAATTTCACCAGAAAGGTTTCATGTTAAGTAAAAAAAAAAAAAATGGCTATTTTTAAGGATTCAAATCGCATAAAATACGTGTTTCGCTTTTGGAGATTTAATATGGACTTATGGGGCTC